TCTCACTATGCCCACAAATCTAGTATAAATTATTTCATTTGTACCTACAATTTTGCCTGGAAATGAATGTAAGTGCAAAATCAGAGGCCACGCTGAAACTTAAAATCTCACACAAGGAATTTAATAGCCTTATTTTTAAAAAGTACTGAGTACTCACAACTACTACTGAATTCAATAGGAGTTGCGGCAATCTATGCAAATCAGAACTTAAGTGATTTGCCAAAAGTCACATAGCAAGTCAGTGGCAGAGCTAGATTAGACCCTTGGAGATCCTGGCACCAGGTCTCAACTAGTCCAGGAGAACATGTTGCCCCTTCAGTAATGTATTTTTTAATTTACTCTTAGATGTGGGAAAACTGGTATCACAAATTATTAATATTTTAAAATAGCAAGTCACCAAGATTTCTGATTAGAACTGGGTGCTATTTAGTAGTATCTTGTGAAGTCCACAAAACACAAGATCAGTGCAAAAAAAATTATATTTCAGTAAGTCACTAAGTAACATATTCAGGCCTCAGGGACTGTGAAGATTTAGAGTTTTGTACTGTTGTGTTTAGTTGATAACTTTTTACAATTTAAGTCTGTGTACATTTAGCCCCTCTTCCAACTCCTGTAAAATAAATCCACGTATGTGCATACTGCTTGGGTATGAAATAGTTTGACACTGAACTACGTCCACCTGCACTTCCTCCTAGGAGATGTAATTCAAGTACAACAAGCCCACATTTTATCCTATAGGCCAGGCTTGTTGGCCAGACTACATCTCCCATGATGGAGCCTCACAGCACATCATGTCAGACACATGGTTGAGGTATATTGTGAGAGATGCAGCCTTGCTGAAAAGCCCACCCCACAGAAGAGAACATAGAGAAGAGGCACCACAGCAACTCAGAAGGATGTGGTTTAAAGTCAAACTAAGTCAAAATGAAACATTTTCTTTCAATCCAAAGTGTTGAAAAGAAATGTTTCAATATTTCCAAACTGAGAGTGCAAATGTTCATCTCAAAAACCAAAACGTTCAACTTTTCACTGAAAAACCAAAACACTCCAAACCCAGAAATTTTCCACAGAAAGGAAACACTTTTTGCAAAAAAAGTTTTTGTTGTAAACCCAATTTTCCACTGAAAAACAGTTTTGATGGAATTTTTTTAACCAGCCTTCTAAATATTTCCTAATTACTAGAGAGGAAGGTGTTTAATAATCCACAAATAGACCCTCGTGTACTAGAAAACTTGCAGGTTAATGGAGGAGGTGGCATTGCAAGCTGCCATAAAACAACTTGTGAAGATGAGGATTAAAAGAAGCATATACATTGATCTAGACATGAGTCACCTAACAATTTTCAGTAAGAAGTTTGTACTTGAAAAATTACAGTACAGTACTGCACATATAGAAAAGGAGTGATGTAACTGGGAACAACAGCCACTTCCTCAAACGAATATTTATCTTTAGCCATGGCCTTCAACATGACATCCAGAAAAAGTCAGAGAAAGCAGCTTCACGTTAGAACTACCAAGTCTTCAAGAGTCATTAAAAAAGTTAAGATTTAACTATTTGTATCATATTCTGTAATAACTAGTGTTCATGGAATTGAAGCCTTTCCAAATAATCAATGGATCTTGTAGTTATCACACTCCTGGGCTTTGGTGTTAAATCAACAAAGAAGCAGTTCACTGCCTTGTAAAACTACTCCACTAAGAATGTCAAAATACTTACTAAAGGCACAGCTAAAGAGATTTATCATCATGATGTTATGTTTTTACCTTAATTCTTCAGTTTTGCTTTATACATCATAAAATTATTAACTCTTATACAGAGCCCTTGGTACAATTCTACAAGGTATTAAGCACCAACTAATTTGACTTCAAAATATCACTTAATGACTAGGCAATATCACTTAATAACTAAGCCAGATATGCCTAAGTCTAGTTTATTAGCTAGGGTGCAATCTATCTTTTTTATAAGCACCTTTATTAGATAATACAAGTAACAGGAAGTCTGTGACTGAAATGGTCTATAACAGAGAAAGAGAAAATTAATGCTTATATTAATGAACATAACTTTTAGCAGTATCATTAGGGTTCTTCCTAGCACCTGTAACCACAATGACCACCTGTGACAATCAGGGTCCAGACACCTGAAGAGAACAGGTTTGATCTGAACCCAAAAAAATAAGCAGTTAAACCAACTTGATGGCATACTACGTTATTTCACTGTAAAAGTGTATTGAGCAAGATCTTTTATGAAAGCTTGCAATGCACTGAACACAAGTCATTGTGAGATATGTATACAAGTTACAGTTACGAATATCTGTATGTATATGTAGAAAATTGTAACTGTGGTGCAACTTCAGCATCACCTCACAATAGGGCAGTGAAGCAATCAGGCAGAGAGAGGTTACTTCCCCAGATGAGACTGCTTCTAGCACCTAGTCATTGTCCAGCGCAGGAAAAAACAATGAAGAAACAAAGCAAATGAGAACAGCTTGAAACTGAAAAGAAAACCCCAGTCTTTGAAAACTAAGAAAAGAGGGAGCTCTCCCGCTGGCATAAAGTGTTGGTAGCCAGGAACAGATTTACCATGAAACACACCATGTGGTGGCACGGGGCCCCCAATGAGAGCGCGGCCCCCAAAATGCAGGACAAATCTCATCTGACAACCTGCCCGAGTCCCGGCCGGTGGCACAGCAGGGCTCAGACAGGCAGGCTGCCTGCATGCCATGGCCCCATGCCACTCCCGGAAGCGGCCGGCTGCTGGCATTCTCTGGCGGGGGGAGGGTCCGCATGCTGCCCCTGCCCCGGGGGGCACACGGAGACTTGCTGCCTCCCTCCCACAAGGGGCATGCAGAGCTGTGCCAGCAGCAGCACAGCAGAGCTAAGGCTTCTCCCTGCCCGCTCTGCCTCCCTCCCTCCGTGCCACGCCACTCCCGGAAGCGGCTGGCATGTCCCTGCGGCCCCTGGAGGGGGGGGTGTCTCCATGTGCTGCCCCTGCCCCGAGCACCGACTCCGCAGCTCCCATTGGCCGGGAACTGCGACCAATGGGAGCCGCGGGAGCAGCACTTGCGGGCAGTGGCGCGCAGAGATCCCCTGGCCCTCCCCACCAGGATCCACTGCCAGAGGGGTGGTGTGTGCCGGTCGCTTTAAGAGCTGCGCCATCCGAGGTAAGCGCTGACCCCCTGACTTCCTCCCACACCACAACCCCTTGCCTCAGCTGAGAGCCCGCACCCAAACTTCCTCCCAGAGCCCACACCCCTCACCACCCCAATCCCCTGTCACAGCCCAGAGCCCACACCCAGCACCCAAACTTTTCCCAGAGCCTGACCCCCACACCTCCTCCTGCACCCTAACCCCCTGCCCCAATCAAGGTACCTCACTTCATATTCATTTATTTCCCATTACTTATAATATAGGAAGAGGAAGAAGAAAAAAATGAAAAACGGGGGAAGAGATAAAAGAGAATGTTCTTTTTCTTGGCTGGATCCCGAGGGGGGCCCCCAAAAATGAAGTTGTGCACAGGGCCCCACTAACTCTAAATCCACCACTGGCGGTAGCTATGTCACCAGGAGACGCTCTCCCACTGGCATAATGCTGTCCATACCAGCGCTGCTGTCAGTGAAACTTACATTGGTGGTGGTGGTCGTGGTGGTGAGGGGGTGTTTTTTCACACCCCTGACCGACAAAAGTTTTGCCAACAAAAGTGCTAGTGTACACAAAGCCTTAGTGCAAATAGAGTTATGAAAAGAGCTACTGTTCACATACCATTAAGGGAATGCACCCCAAGGGTTCTGTTTAATTAATATAACCGTTGTATCTGACGAAGTGGGTTTTTTACCTACTGAAGCTTATGCCCAAATAAATCTGTTCGTCTTTAAGGTGCCACTGGACTCCTCAATGTTTTTGTGGATATAGACTAACACAGCTACCCCTCTGATACTTGAAACGGTTATAATGTAACACATAAAATAGATGGGAATACTTAGCATAACTGTGTAATTTAAGTACTGTATATTGTTTTAAAAGGGGAATGGGATCTAGACAATACTAAAAATGGGCCTTAACTGTAATGTCAGATCCAAAATTCCCACAGCATTTTTAAATGTTTGGTCTGGGATTTTGGTCTGGGGTGAACTCTAGGCAAAATACTATATGACAGAGAAAAATATCATGCCCTCTATAGGTGTTCCGCAAAACAGTTTCAAGGTGTATTTGAACATTAACACAAATTCTAAAGCGCTTTGTTCACTCAATTAGCTACTTATTGACTTGCAGATAGATGTTGTAGTGGGTTGATGATACTAAATCAGCATGCACAGTATTTTCACCACCATCAATACTTACAAATTCACAACAACAACTAATTCAGGAGTCACTGCTTATGACAAAGGCTACTCTAGGAGGAACTACGCTATTTGATTACAGCTGAATCTCGAACCACGCATCTCTTCTCCACACAGCCCTGCCAACCTAAAATCCTTTGCTGTCTTACTGGTCTCCTAGGTTCAGCTACACTGCGATGCGCACAAGCCTGGCAAAGCACGTCTCTGACAAAGAAACACCCACAAGGAGAAGGGGACCAGGAAGAGACCCAGGAACTGGGCGCTCAGCCACGGGAGCACTTCCCGAGCGCCTCCGCCACCATCGCCCGGGGCACAGGGTCCAGAGGCGGGCTCTGGCTCTCTCTCGGGGCGCGCCTGGGGCTTGCGGGGAGCGGATCCTGCTCAGCTCGGCAGAGGAAAGGCGAAGGCCATAAGCCGCCAGCCGGGCCCGGAAGCCTTCTAGCACAGGGCCATGCTCGTGTTTGCACAGTCACACCGCCCCACGCGGGGCGGCGGGGCGGGCCGGGCTCAGCACAGCCCGGCAGATACATCCCAAACTCCTGGGCACCCGCCGAGCCCGGCTGTCCCCCGGCGCGGGGTTGGGGGTTTTGTCCCCTTGCCCTCCCGTGGGTCGCCGCTGCGGGGGAAGGGGTGGGGTCCCTGGCAGGCCGCGGGCCCCACTCACGCAGGCAGAGCTGGGTGACATAGGCGTAGTAGGACCAGCAGAGGATGCTGGAGATGAACAGCACCGGCACCCAGTAGAGCAGCCGCTGGCAGCGCCGCCTCACACCGCCCCGCGTCCCCGCCGCCGGCGCCGCCATCTTCCCGCACCGCATGCCAGCCACTAGCCCCGGGCCCTAGCAGCGCAGCAGCCCAGCCGAGCCGCCGCAGCCTCCTGCCAACGCGGGGAGGGCGCGGCGCCTGTGCCTGCCTCCCTCCCGACTGGCTCCTCCAGCAGGCGGCGCCGCGCCGGGGCTGCTCCGCCCCCGCCGCTTCCACAGCCAGCCAGTCACGGGCCCCCGCCTACCCCCGGGCATGGGAAGGGAGCGGGCGGAGCCGCCCCGCGGAATGAGGCTGGGAGCCCATAGGGCACAGACAGCGAGGAAATGGGGCGGGGGCAGGGTCGTTTGCTCCCACCTACCCCTATAACAGCTCCAGGCCGAGGGGGTCCCTGTACCCCCCTGGGCAGAGGGGTAGTGGTGGTGGTGGTGGTGGTGGTCAGTTCCCCCCGCCTCAGCCCCTCATTAGGGCCTCGCTCGGAGGGAGGGAAACCCGGAGCTTGATTTTCGCTTAAAACGATAGGAGAACAGAGCACCTGCCTTGGATACTGACAGGAAAAAGCCGTGTGCCCCCTGGCCCTGGCAGCGGGCAAGGAGATTAGGATGCGCCGCTGCCTTCACTTGTAGTGCGGTGTAACGCCACTGAAACCAACGCAGTTAGCATCAACGTCAAATCGGAGTAACACTGCTGATTCAGGCCAGCTGGGCTTGATACCCCGTGTGATCCTGCAAACAGTGACACCGGCTTGATCCTATGTGATCAGTTCTCTTTTCCTGACTTTCATGGAAGCACTGGGCCCGCTCCGTAGACTCTGATCCTGCCAACGCTTATGCACCTGCTTAACTTTAGGCAGATGTGTAGTTCCATTTAACTCAAAGAGCATAAAGATATACACCTGCAAAAATGTTTTCATGCTCTTAGACTATACAGACCTATGGACATGGACCTTATCTTTTTCTGTGTTCTGTATAGTGCTGAGCACATTGTCAGCAGTCAAGACATGAATCCCTCAATTTCCCTAGCTGTTAATATAAGGATGATATTTAAACACCTTTGTAAAATGCATTGGAATATATGGACAAAAGTGCTATCTAAATGCTAAGTATTACTGCAAAGTAACAGATACAGTAACTGTTGTAGGCAGCCAGTGATGTCACAATAAATGGTGGCTCAAACTTCAGTGAACATGGCAGTCAGTTCTACTTTTGACATCACAATGGGTTAGTTGGCAAGACATGAGAGGATACAGTATGCTGACTCACTTTTTCCCAAACATGGTTTAATGAATGTTTCTCACACAGAAACACTTGTGAAATGGCATAGTAAATCCAGATTATAATTAGGTGTGTATGCACAAATTAGTTGCTGAATTAGAGTTCCAAAATTAGAACTGCCAGGAACAGCAGGGAGCATTTCTCCAATCTACTAGAATCTTTGAGTGAGTCAACAATATAGTACTGTAGTTATGAAAGAGCTGGTTGATTTAAGTGTGTTTGGATTTTCAAACAGCTTTGGACAAGGTCTCACACAATGGGCTATTAATGAAACTGAAGTCACAGTGTGAGAGGTATAGATGGTCATAGATTAGAAATTAGCCCTGAGATACAAAAAGAGTAAGAGTTTTCAACATTGCAAAAGTATAGTAGGGGGGTACCACAAGGTTCTATACTAGGGCTGGTATTGTTTAGTGTATTTATTAATGATTTGGATAAGGGGATTTTAACCATGAGGTGGCAAATTTACATATCAGACAAAAGTGTTTAGGTTAGTCAAAACTAGGGAGACTGAGGAATTGCAAAAGGATGTTATGACACTGGCAGACCAGGTGCCAGCTCATGCCACGGCCCTAGGCTCAACTGAACTCTGACCAATACATAACTGGAAACCAGTCTGGCTTACCTGTGTATTACAATTGTTAAAATAGATGTTAAATTTATAAGAATGTGTTTAGTGTTAAGAATTTATGAAATGCTTGTAGGATGCTGCGTGTAGTAATCTCATTTATAACATCTGTACCCCACCTTGTAAGGTTATATTGAGTAGTTGTATTATAAATCTCTGTAAATTTGTAAATAATCAAACAGGAAAGGAGCATTAATTTATGTAAAATGCAGGCTTCCTACAGAAGATGGTAAGTCCTGCCTGTAGTAAGTAAAGGCCCTGATAAAGGCCCAGTATGGGGCCTGAGGCCTGAACTAAAGTAATGGTCAAGACTTTGCTAGCATAAAGCAAAGTTAAGCTGTGGTCAAGAGGCAGGCCCTGCTCACAGAAGCTGGCAAGGAAAGGGCTGATGTTGCATAAATGTATATTCATAAGCATAGTTACAGTATAAACATGGTACCAAGACACACTATACCGGAACATTCCACAGATAACATGGAACAGGCCGACCCATCCCAATGACAGGGGCAAAAGGGTAAATGATGGATAGAGTTGTTTTGATCGAACCAACATGTACAAGGTGCGAGGCGGCACCTTACTACGTAGGGGGGTTGCACCTCAATACGTCAGGAGTGATGTGTAACTTGTGTATATCTGTGTATAAAAATGTATCCCTGGGGTGGTGTCTGGGTCCAGCCGAGGGGGCAGTGGAAAGTCCCGCCACTGACTGAGCTGAGTCCATTGCCGAGCGGCACTTTCTAGCAGTATGCCCGGTAGACTAAGTAATCTACGGGGAACTGAAATTGTGTCAGGGTCGCAATAAACCTGGCTGAGGTGCCTTCGTACCTTACTAGACTCTGTGGTTATTGGGAGTTCTCGTCGGGTTTGCTGTGTCAGCTATCTGCGCAGAGCTGGGGCAGCACACAGAGGGAACACGCGCACGCAGCCGAGTGATATCAACAGGAGAAAGCAGAAGCACCACACCGGTAGCATCTGACAACACTGCCCACCAAGAAGGCCCATTGAAACCAAATGAACCACTGTAAAACATCAAAGAACAAAGACTTTAATTGCTTCCCCACCACACCCATGAAGAGAATCTGTGCGTGTGGACTCATCCCATTAGTTTGAACTCTGGGAGTAGGAAATAAAAATCCCTAACCAGAAGAAAATGGATCTCTACGCTGCTTGGACTCTGGGAGGACAAGATTGCTAAGCAGAAGCAAGGGATCCCCAGTGCTGGCCTGGGTTAGCCCTAAAGGACTTGTAGAGCTTGCATATTATAGAAGCTTCTTCTACCTTTTGAAAGGTAAGACTATAACTCATGTGTGTGTGTAAGTTTACCTGCTTTAACCTTGTAAATAACTCATTTCTTTTTTGTAGGTAATAAATCTTGTTAATTTATTATAGGACTGGCTACAAGCATTGTCTTTGGTATAGGCTCTAAGATGTAATTGACCTGGGATAAAGTGACTGGTCCTTTGGGACTGGGAATAACCTGAATATTGTTGTGATTTTTGGTGTAAGGGACCATCTATCATAAAGGCAAGTTTACCTGGGTGGCAAGATAGACCAGATTACCCAAGGGGACTGTCTGTGACTCCATGTTAAGACTGTTATACTGCTTGAGGAGTTCACATTTGATACTTGGTTGGTGAAATTTAAGTATAGAACTCACAATCAGTTTGGGGTTTGTGCCCTGCTTCTTAACAGTCTGCCCTGAGGTTGGTACTCACACTCCTGAGCCACTCCAGACAGCTTGACAGACATAGTAAAGCTGGGTGAACAGGTAGCATAATGAAATTTAGTGTTAATAAGTATTAGGTAATACATATTGAGAGGGATAATTTGAATTACGCCTAAATATTCCTGGTTTCTATATTATCTGCAACTACTCAGGAAAAAGACCCACTTGTCACAGTGGACAGTTTAGTTAAAATATTTGCTCAATGCACGGTTGGGATGAAAGATCAATCAAAATGTCAGGCCATAGAAAGAATGAAATATAAAATGACAACAAAATAATGATGCCATTGTATAAATCACTGGTTTATCCTCATCTGGACTACTGTGTTCCCATCTAATAATCCCATCTAAAAAAAGGTACTACAGAAACAGAAAGGGTACAGAGTTGGACTGTGAACACTGTTAGTCACTGAAAAACTTTGATATAAGGGGAGACTGAAAATATTAGGAGAGGAGACAAGATGAGACATGACTGAGGTATTAAAAATAATGAATGACACTGAGAAGGTAAATTTGGCACTCTTATTAATCGTTTTCCAGAATACAAGAAAAAAGAGACATTCAATTAACTAAAAGACAACAAATTAATTTTTTTTACACAATACTTAATAAACCTGCAAAAATCATTGCCACAAGGTATCATTGAAGACAAAAGCTTAGTAAAATAATAATGAAAATGATTAGACATTTATATGCTAATGAGAACATCCACAGTTACATAAAATAGATTTTAAAAGTATAAGGGATAAAAGGCTTCCTGCTTCAGGGCATGTGCCAACCATTTACTGACATGAGTTAGGAAGAAAGAGAGGCAAGTCATTCCATTTGGCTTCTTGCACCTTCCTCCGAAGTATCTGGCACTGTCCACTGTCAGACACAGGGTACTTGCATTAGATGGATCACTGATCGGATCTGTTATTCCATTTCCTATTTTGCTACACAATGAGGAGCTGGCAGCTGGAAACTCCAGGCATAACATGGCGAGTGAATGTTTGTATAGTACTTTGAGGATTTCAAAAGCTATATAAGTGTTATTATTATGTTGATAAACACTGAATTGTCAGACTAATATTTTAATACAGTATTCCAATATCTGATTGTCTCAGCCCTTTGCATGCTTTCTCAAGGATTATAGAAAAAGGAAGTAGTATTGTATTGCTTTTTATTTACTTAAAATTATGTGAGTGTTCATACAGCACCTGCATGCTGGTTTATGTGCTGCAGCAGAACATTTCTGATGGCATCAGAATTTCCCCATCAGTCATTTTACAGCACTGTAGGCTACCTTAGCTGTATGCTGGAAATAAGCATGGCTCATCAATCGTAATACATGTCAAGGAAATGTTGTAAATAAACATAAAGGCATACATTAGTTTTTGAACTGTTAATGAATCTTTAAACATCTTTTTGTTATATAATACTTACATGTCTGCATGGTAGGTTGTCAGTGACATGAGGAAAAAAAGATGAAGCAGTATAGAGAATATTTCAGCGTGCATTGCATACATAAAAAGAACAGGAGTACTTG